GACTGTGACATGATGCTTCTGTGTATGCAAATGGTTTCAACAGCGAATGAAATTCACGCCCGCCCCTCCTTCTAGCGCCAAACTGTTGTCACATGGAAATTAACAACAACCAAATTGGGATGTATTTTAAGTAAATCTAAATGTTTAGCGACGAAAAGCCTGCGTATTATATCCAGAGATGTAATTTGTAGTATGTAGTAAGGTGGTATTTTTGTCTGTGTCTTTTTGGGAAATTCTCTATTTCCCTTTTATATTTTACATACCATCTTTATCTGTACAATAATCATTACAGCTTGAAAGGTCAAAGGCGGTCTTCGATGGCTCCTCTTGTTAGCTTGCCACTTGGATAAGCGTAATGATGAATTATGCTGAGTTGTCGCCGCCTTACCATGCTGAGGTGGCATGTTATAGATATCGGCCCACCCAATTATAACCGACATGTTGCAACTGGTATACACTAACCGATATGTGTTGACCGACATGTATTGGCCGACATGCATTAGCCGACATGTGATATCGGTCAACTTAGGGAAGATGTCGGTTCTTGCTGAATCTTTCATTGTGTAATCATCTTGAAGCTGGTGGAAGTATCTCGTGCTTGTATGAACTCTAATCATCATCATATTGGTCTCGATCAACGGATTAATGTTGCTTAACCTGGCTTACGGAAAATGATATCAACAAAGTATATAAAGCAATAGGATTATCATCTAATTTTTTATCTCTTTTAATCAGCGTTAAGTATAATAAACAATAAGGTTATAATATATTTGCACCTCTTTTAATCAACGTTATTTTTTTAGTCAAAATATTAAAATAATTAATATATTATTTCACTAACACATTTATCCTAATTTAAATTTGATTTTAGTATATATTTATTCCTTGATATAAGAGAGAATAATAATTTTACTTAATCTTGTTCACCATATAATATTTAATTATTATTTTATTATGCACTTTATGTCTTATAATGTCATTATTATTTATAAAGTTTTAGAAGTTGTACGTCTTCTTTTTATTTTTATTTTATGTAATGAAAAATATTTAATGCACGTTGCTATTATTTATTTATGTAATTAATTTAAAATATGTAAATAAATTTAATATTAAATAGTATATAAATATTTTACAACATATACACATGTTTTTTTAGAATTTAATTTTGTATAAAATCCCAAAAACTCGATCCCCTCTATGATCAAAATTTTTCTAGTTCGCATTATAAGGATTTATGGTTTATTTAGCATATTCAACAATGAAAATATATTTTACAAGAATTTAATTATAGAAATAAATCAAAATAAAAAATAAAAAAATATAATCATGGGTGCCAATAATATACAAATAAATTCTAAACAATAGTTAATATGTTTCAATTTTAATTTTTTATCATTAGTAAAACTATTTATCGTATCTGGTCATTATCTCTTAAATAGTAAATTATATTAATGTGAAGAACAATTTATTTTTTATATTTAACAAAATAAAGCTTAAAAAACAAATATATTGACAAAAATTAATTTACCAACTTGATTTGTCTGATTACTTGGAAAAAAAATTCTACCTAACCTTTTACGATTTTCCATAAAAAATCTTAAATATAGAGTGAATATTTGTGAAAAAAAAAAACTAATATTATGGTTAGAACTTAAAATATGGTGTAATATTATTTTGACCAAAGTATTATCAACATGGATCACAGAAATCAATCTTGTAATTTATTATAATGAATATCAATGAAAATATTACAAATATTAATAAAATAATATTAATCTTGACCAAAATATTATCAAAATGAATCACGAAAATCAATCTTGTAATTTATTATAATAAATATCAATGAAAATACTGCAAATATTAATAAATTTATTTAAGTAATTATTTGATCATATGTTATTTGATCTTATTTGAAACGTGTAAATAGAAGCAATTAATGCATATATTTAAAAAATTTCTAAAAATAATATGCATTAAATGTTCTTAAAATTTTGCTACTATTTTTAGTAAATGGTAATTCTTTTTATATAGATATAGATAAGTTAATTTATTAAATTATAAACTTATAAAAAAAATAAAATATAATAAACTATATTATATAAAATTAAATGAAAAAAAAAACTTATTATATTAGAGAAACACAAAGTAATTAAAATAAAAATTATAAAATAAATATAAGAAATTATTGTTATATTATAATAATATTATTGTATTTTTTCATATTATTTTTATCTTTTATTATTTATTTTAATTTATATTATTTCATATTATTTTGTTGCTTTATGTATTTTGTTTAACTTAAGACAATGAAATAAAATTTAAATATATTTTACTTAATAAAATTTAGAAATTAAAATTATTTACTAAAAATTTATAATTTAATTTAATTTATTTCATTCATATTGTATGTAAGAGTAAATCATATTAAAATTTTATGATAGATAATATTTTTTTTATTTTTATTATATTAATTTAATCTTTTTAATTATTTTTATTTATTATTTAATATAAGTTGTTTAATTTATTATTTATTCTTATTTATCATTTTTATACTTTATTATCTTTTATAATTATTATTTTTATTTTATTTTTATTTTATTTATTTTTTAACTTAAATTGTTTATTATTTTTTTTCATTTAGAAATAATATAATCAATTTATTTTTATAATGAAAAACAAAAATTTATTTAAACTACTATTTTAAATTTTCTCTTACTTTATTTTATTTTTTATTATTTTTATGTTAATTTAATTTAATATAAGTATTTATATTATTAATTATTTAATTTATATCAAATTGACCTATTATACTTTTATTTTATTTTTAAATTATTTAATAAATTTCCGTCCATGTGCGCGTGTATGGTGTGCTTACCTCAGTCCTCGCATGCATGATTGCACAAGTCATAATAACCCAAGCCGGCCCAATGACCAAATCATTTGTTCCTTTCTCAACGACATTCATTTTGGCAGCATACAATTATCCTCTAAAATAAATAGCCCCACCCATAACAGTAATGCTAAGAATCCAATTGTTGATTCCGGAGTCAACAACCAACGGGACAGCTCCATATAAGACTGTCCTACATGGCTCTAATGTGGGACAGTCCCATATCAATGTCATCATCACCAACTCATATATCCTCAACTTCATCACCACATTATTTCTGTTCCATTCTCAATAATTATTCATCCTCTTTTCTCACTCCTTTTCCTCTTTTCTTTCTTTTTTTTTTTAATTTTCCGTAAATATAATTATAGGCTTCGTCTTCCCCTGATATCAATCAGGGAAAACAATATTAATGGCGAAGGAGAAAAAAATTATATAAATTTTCTTTTGGCTAATATTTAATTCCTGCAAATTCCTCACCAATTCAAATCGATACAGAAATTTTGTCGGTCGGTCGGTCGGTGGATCGATCGATGCAAGACGACGCGAAGGCATTAGAGGTGGGTTGCTGCACGCACGCAGTCTCCGGATCCAATAATCATGCCAGAGATGGTCAACGCCGGCGACGAAGACCGGAATCGGCGTATCATCTTGAAGAAATACGAGGTGGGCAGGCTGCTGGGTTGCGGTGCCTTTGCCAAGGTGTACCACGGCCGCGACACGCTCAGCGGGCAGAGCGTAGCGGTCAAGTCCATCAGCAAGCACCGCATCAAGGGAGGAGTTGACCTCGACGTTAAACGGGAGGTGTCTATCATGCGCCGGCTGCGCCACCCCCACATCGTGCGCCTCCACGAAGTCCTCGCCACACGGACCAAGGTGTACCTGGTCATGGATCTGGCCAAGGGCGGGGAGTTGTTCGCCAAGGTCGCCAGGGGACGGTTCAGCGAGGATCTCAGCCGCAACTACTTCCGCCAGCTCATCTCCGCCGTCGCCCACTGCCACTCCCGCGGCGTCTTCCACCGCGATCTCAAGCCCGAGAATCTGCTGCTGGACGAGAATTGGGAGCTCAAAATCACCGATTTCGGGCTAAGCGCGGTGGTGGGCCAGGCACGGCCCGACGGCCTCCTCCACACCCTCTGCGGCACCCCCGCCTACGTGGCGCCGGAGATCCTCGCGAAGAAGGGCTACGACGGGGCCAAGGTCGACGTCTGGTCCTGCGGGGTCATCCTCTTCGTCCTGAACGCCGGCTACCTCCCCTTCAACGACACCAATCTCATGGCCATGTACCGCAAGATCTACAAGGGGGAATTCCGCTGCCCCAGGTGGACCTCGCCGGATCTGAAGCGGTTACTTACCCGATTGCTCGATCCGAACCCGGGAACCCGGATCACGGTCCACGAGATCATGAACGACCCCTGGTTCAGGAAGGGCGGGTACAGGGACACGAACCAGCCGGCCGTGGACAGAGAATTCGAATTCAAGCTGCAGGAATCAAATCTGAACGCCTTCCACCTCATATCCTACTCCGGCGGAGCAGATCTGTCGGGTTTGTTCGGCGATGAGGTGGATTCCGAGATATTCGTGACAGCGGAGCCGGCGGAGAAAGTGGCGGAGAGGATTGAGGAGGTGGCGGAGGAAGAGGGCATGAGGGTGACGAAGAGGGGGACGACGGGCGTGAGGTTGCAGGGGCAGAATTGGGAAACGACGGTGAAGGTGGAGATTAACCGGCTGACGGACGACCGGCTGCTGCTGGTGGAGGTTAAAAGGAGTGCATCTGGACGGGATCTGTGGACACAGAAATTCAAGCCAAGGCTCAAGGATTTAGTCCTTGGTCATAATTAATTAATCAATAATTAATTTTCACCGGTTGCCACACTTAATTAGAAGCAAAGCAACCCACAAATCCAAATCCAATCCAGTGTTTGTGTGCAAATATGTGTAGTAGTATTAAAAATTCCCCCGGAAATAAATTTACTTATTAGATAAAAATAAGTTTAAAAGAAATCCAAGAACAAGCGGGTGTCTGTAAAATGTTTTTGCCTGCTAAGACGACTGCTAGTTTTACTGTCTTATTTGTCCACATAATAATGCGTGTCGGTGTAGTAACTGCTAAATTAAAATAGGACAATAATTAGCCAAAGTGTAAATTTTTAATACTAGTAAGTATATATTATTATAATATGATTGGAAGGTGCATGGTGACGCGAATGGGAAACGAATATTGATTGGGGCAAGTTAAAGCGAAGGTCATTTATGACATAAGTTGGACTTTGTCAAAAGAATAGTATTAATGACGCGCCAAGTAAATGGGACCTGACCTCTTTATTAAAATCAAAATTAAACAGAGACCACAAAACGTTGCTTTCGAGATTGTGGCCAATAATCGATTCCCACATGGTGGCTGTGGCTCGTCACACTCAAATTATCAAAAATGAAACGTACACACACTTCTCACTCAACAATATTAAGTTGAGATAATTGTTTTAAATAGCTCGCTACGTCGCTCGATATTGCTTGTTATATAGTTTTTGTTGGAAAAACGCGACGTAGCAATATATATTTAGCATTTTTCTTGAAATGCTTACGCAAAATATTGAAATGACACGATTTTCTTACGCTATTGTGCGCTACATTGGCGCTCTATTTCTGTAACGACATTTAAATATTCAAAAACTCGTACTTTTTAAGGATCATAATTATATTTACAAATGACAACTAAAAACTAAAAATTTGATAATTATCTCAAATTAAAAGTTTGAAAATACAAAGTTCTAAGTTGAATAGTGCAATAATTATCTATCCAATTTTGTTATAACTTTTTATTTTTGGTTTGACATTTAAGTAGAGAATAAAAAGTTCATATCTAATGGTGAGAATTAAGTTGTAGTTAAATAAAATAATAATAATTAAAATGCATGTACTTAAATTTATACTATGACTTACCTTATTATATTTTTGTTGTTTGATTTCACTTTTTAGTATATTCAATTTATTATTTAAATATTTATATTATGATATTTACATTAAACATTTGGGAGAAATTATCCTTAGATTTTATTTTTGAAGTCATTCAAATACTATGATAACTTTTGTAATCAACCATCCAATTTTATTATATGCAAATATATTTGTAATATTTTTATAAAAAAAAAAATTAACAACATACCCAAATAGCTTACGCAACACGCAACACTATTTACGCTACGCAGTATAAAGTCAAAACACGATGCACTACGCTATACACGTTTTAAAACACTGGTTTAGATTAAATTTAGATTTTCTTGGTGGAGTTGAGCTCTAATTCCTTGAAATTTTGACTTTCAAAGCTACCGACTTATGGGCCTAATAACCAAAGGCAGTCAATAGACCTGTATTGGGTATAAAAATTTTTATGGGCCAAGGCAAAGTTAAAATCGAACTGAGACCTACTGTGGTGTCCACTAAATTGGGCCATCATTTATGAGACATGAATTTAAAGATTGGGCTTTGTTCCATGATATATAACTTTACAATATCTGATGTCCCGCATAGACAAATTAATACGATAACATGACAGAAAATGACCATACTATGTAATAAAAGGTCACAAATAATAAGACGAGGTGACTGGTGGTGGTGGACACATATATATGTATTGATTGATGTGCACGAAGTTGGAGATAAGCAATATAACTACATAAGCACGCTTCCTCACCAATATTAATAATTAATACTTTTGGTTCATTTCCCAAGAGCGCTTGGATGATATGGCTTGAGTCTCTTCCAACTTAACCAATGGTCTTGTGTTCGAGCCCTGGGAATGCAGCAGTGTTAAAAACTCTTGAGGGAGAGCTTTGCCGCCCTTGTGACCCTACCCGGCTCGATTCCGGATTAATCGGTTCTCATGTGGATCCGAAAACCAGAAAGTTCTTGTACCAACAAAAAAAATACTTTGGCTCATTTCTGGCATTATCCATTTATATATATCTTTGCCTACTAGAGAATATATAGCAGCTATTATTAATCTTTTGCACATTATACTATATATGTTTAAATCTTTAATAATTATATATACTCTAGCTAGCTATTGAGTCCTCACTATCAGCCATCTGGTTTGGTATATATTATTGTTGCTGCTATTTAATTTAATTTAATAAAAAGTATATATATATATATATATGATGGAACCTTATTATTAACAGAAAGAAATTAACTAACCACAAGTATACAAATTTAATCATTATTAATTCCCGCCAAATTTTAATGTATTAATTGCTGCAGGCTCTCTACCAAACATTCGTTCTGGATGGATGCCAATTTTTTTACGTGTCAATTGTCACAATAATTAGCATCATGCATGGGTCGAGATTATTATAAATATTGTCCCTTCATAATTAATTAATGAATACTCCCAATTAATATAAGCTCTTATCGCTGTTAATAACCATAGTACAAAACTACTTTCTTAGCATAATTAATTTATACTGGCCAAATATAAGCTAGCACAAATTAAATAAATGTCTTAACTAATTATAATAACTCCCATTAATTGATGAGGTTAACTTCACATTGGCCAAATGCTAGCAC